AGCCATTGCTGGTAATAGTAGAATAGTATAGTAGACGAGAGAAAATGAGAGTCGCTGAAGACGATGGAGATGAGGAGCATTTTCCTGCGCCTTTTATATGATTTTGTGTATTGCTATACTCAGCCTAAATCGCCCTCCCGACTTACACAGAGTTAGTCCTCGACGAATAAATCCATGGATTATGGTTGGGTAAAAGCCATGTGTAAGTAGCACCAAGGTAATAATAGCAAAAGACTGAACGGGTATGATCGCCTATCTTCTTTTTACAAGGCGAAGTGCATGCTAGTTTGATGATGGTGCATGAATGCTTCGTTGATCCGACCTCTCAGATTTGCTACAAGTAGGTTTTAGGCTCCATTAGGTTAGATTAGGCTGTACTCTGCTGTATGGGGCCTGGACCTCCGGGATCCATTTGATCAGCGGGTGCTAAATTTACTTACGAGGAAATCGCCTCTGAGTCAATGTGTGTGTATGTGCGTGTGAGATGATCAAAAGCTTGGGTCACTAACAATATTGTTTACCAGTGGATGTTTCGTAATGAGGGTTTTCGAGTGAATTTTCTGTACAAAGATATAAATGTCCATGGCCGTTACGCTACTGCCGAGATAAAAAGCAGATGAGTCAATTTTTAAAAGATACGGACATTTAGATGTTAACAGGATTCTGTTATATGTACTAGCATTTTCCCCGCGCGGCGATTTCGTGATTCCAACGAACAGGCGACGTAGCTGTACCTGGAAGTGATGGCCGTGTATGTCAATTCGCATGTTTTCACTGTGCCTCTTTGAGACTCGGGAATCTGGGCCTGGAACTCCTTCGACCAATGTAAGTGCTATAAATGATCATTTATTTATCAAAGTACTCAGCATCATCACCATTGTGGTCTGAGAACAATATTCCGCGTACTCTGCACCTCTTCCTACTTGCCAGCTGCAAGATATCATCAGAGGTCCGTGGTGGTCCGAGAATCGACATCGCTACCGATAATTCAAATCCAGCCCACAGTCGCGATACTCCTAGAACATATTGACGAGCGTGTCATGGAGTCGCTAGGAGTGGAGGATGGTGGGAGGTAATAGCGTTGCACTTCTCCGATAGGTTGGCGTGCTTATCTAACTATCTCCAGAAATAGCGTTCAATGTATAGCTTGGATCACTAAGGATGGTCTCTTACCCAACCATCAAGCATGGATTCACTCGTCAAGGAATAACTGAGTCTCTAGGTCGGGACGATTTAGGAGGAGTACAGCAATACAAGAAATCATATAAAAAGTGGAGGAAAATGCCCTTCATCTCCATCGTCTTCAGCGACTCCCATTTCTTCTCATCTACTACTCTACTATTCTACTATTACCAGCAATGACTAAATTCGCAGCTCTCGTTCTCCTCGCCGCTGTCCAGTTGGCAGTCGCTCTACCTGCATACGACTCTCTTATGGGACTCAGCGAGAGGGACATTAACGATTTCATCGCTAGAAACGGTGTTGCTGAAATCCCCAACCCACCTCTTCCCTTGACCGATGGCAGTCTCAAGTTGGTGAACGACCCGGCTCACCCTTTCATCGCTGCCGGCCCTAACGATATTCGTGGACCCTGTCCGGCTTTGAACACCCTTGCTTCTCACGGAGTGAGTAAATAATTACATGCCCGTTAAATCATCATATTTATATTTTATTAGTACCTTCCTAGAAACGGTGTGGCTCGACCTGACCAGATCGTTACTGCGGTCATGGAAGGCTTGAACCTAGGCAATGACTTTGCCAAATTCTTAGCATACCAGGCCTTCTTGATGAACGGTAACCCAATCACCAACTTGATGAGTATTGGAATGAAGACTCCCTTGACCGGCCCGGACCCACCAAAGCCCGCACTCGTTGGTGGTCTTAGCCAGCACGGAACTTTCGAAGGTATTTTATTTTCAATTTATTTTATGGAACTACACCTGATATATTATACAAAGGTGACACCAGTATGACGCGTGTTGATGCGTTCTTCGGTGACCAAGCCTTATTCAATGAGGATCTGTTCCAAGGGGTATGTTAAATATTCCGTCTTCATCAAACGAATGCTCAAATTTATTCTACAGTTCATCTCCACCTCTGCCCAATTCGGTTTCAACGGAACGTACGACGTCAATGCGGCTGCCGAGCTCCGCTTCCAACGTCTTCAGAACTCCATCCAAACCAACCCCCAACTTGTCTTCACCTCTCCCCGTATTATCTCCGCCTACTCTGAGGCCGTCTTCCCCACCATCTTCTTTGTCGATGGACGTCTCAATAACGGTCAGCTCACCATTGACGCCGCCCGTCATTTCTTCGACTTCCAGATGATGCCCGACGACTTCCATCGTCAGCCCGCACCGGTGAACTTCACGATGGTCGATCCCCTCACGAAGGCAATTTTCGACAAGCACCCGTTCAGCCCCGGAGTGAACCATGGGAAGAACAACTTCGTCTTGCAGCCCCAGACTCCGCCTCTTGCTGATTTCTGTGGTATCTACGAAGATATCGTGCTCCGTGTGATTCCCGGGCAATACCCCAGGCCAACCGGTATCCTCAGGGAGAATATTAACAAGAACTTGGGCTTCTTCTTCGGAGCTGTTCATGCTGAGCACAATTGCACTCAGGTCTTCCCCTTCGGCAGGGATTGATAGGTTTATCTTCATGACTTGACGACATCTGCATATCATTCAACGTCCTCACGATCCTCATTTAATTTATCTACTTAAACGTACTTATGGTTATAATTGCCTTTATAATTCCCTTATGTATATCTCTACCAAAATATAATTTGATAATTTGTTACATTTTACGAATTTTATTTAAAAGCTGGCAACAAAACCACTGCATGAGACTGCCGTTGTAGACAGTGGAAGCCACATTTTTATTTTTAAGCGCATCGCCTAGTACACCAGTAAAATTATATTCAAGAAAAAGTTCCTTTATAACGCTGTAGGTATAATGAGGTACCGTCCATTTTAAGGGTATAAAATGCTAGGGCGATGAATCAGAAATGATTAGCAATAACTAAGATACCTGGTGTCTAAGCAAAGTGTAAAAGAGTGTTATCTGAGGATGCGGACAATCAAGATCCGTGTGTTTGGTGTCTGTGGTGTCCTCGAAGTGTTTTGTGTCTAGTAAGGCCACGATGTGCGACTTTTCGCGTTATGCCATCCAGGAAAACAAGCGGATTTTTGGCATAAGAGCAAGAGGATATAGGAAGATATGGACATACTCATCGCCGCGATTGTTGAAGTCTATAAAAAGGAAGGTACGTATTCAGGATGGTCCCGAACAACGAATGGAATGCACGGAATTCAGACATACCCCGACTTTTCTCATCATTATCACGGTCGCACATGCAACGATCCAACAACGGGCATATATCTCATGTTGTCATGTTGATACCTAAGAATGGTTGAGCAAGCAGTCCGATAGCCCGGCCCGATAAAAGACATACCTAATATCCGTGAGCTGCATCACTTGTTCCGGATGGAACACCATCGCTGCATAATACGAATGCACAAGAGCGTCTCCCCACCGTTCGTAGAAGAAGCCTGTGGCGAACGTGGGCGCTAGTGACGGCGAGCGGGTGATGCGTATGGAGACGACACATCTCCTGCCTTTTCCAGATGGTCGAAGTACGCAATGTAAGGGTCGCTTTCCCAGACGCTTCGATGTGAGATCTCCCAGTTGTTCTATTAGGAATTAG